GGAGGGTCAGAGAAAAAGAGGAAGACCCCCAATAAGATGGATTGGCCAAGTGGCAGCATCGATGGACTCAAGCATGGCAACAGTAGTGAGGTTGGCCCAGGATCGGGCAGTGCTGTCTTCTGCTGTGCATAAGGTCGCTATGGGTCGGTACCAACTCGATGGCACCTAACAACAACAACATACACTCTGGAGTCCTGGTGTGGCACTGTAGGATAAGCACTGGAACACAATGTCAGTTTGAACCACGAGGTTGGCAGTTCAAACTCACCAGTCAGTCCTCTGAAACCCTACACAGGGTCACTATGAGTCAGAACCGACTTAACAACAACAAACAACACTATATACTCTGGCCTTATTCTATGGTCCCAATAAAGACCCTTGACGGTTGTTGTTGTTAAGTGCCGTCGAGTCGGGTCCGACCCATAGCGACCCTGTACAGGGTTTCCCAGGCTGTAAATCTTTACAGGAGCAGAAAGCCTCATCTGTCTCCTGCAGAGCAGCTAGTAGTTTTGAACTGCTGACCTCGTGGTTCACAGCCCGATCCGTAACCATTACGCTATTACTATTATCCCCACTGTACATTTGAGGAAACTGAGCCATAGAGAGGTAAAATAATTTATCTAAGATAAGTAGTAAATAGAGAAGCCAGGATTAAAATGCTAAAGATTATACTCACATATAATACTTTGTTGTTGTTGTTGTTAAATACCATTAAGTCAGTTCCAACTCATAGTGACCCTGTATAGGGTTTCTGAGAAGAAGCTGATGAGTTTGAACTGCTGACCTTGAGATTCAAACTGACGTTGCAGTCCAGTGCTTATCTTACAGTGCCTTCATCTCAAAGAGTGTAAGTTTTCATTGATTCACAAAGTGAAATTATTTGATTCTATTACCTATGTTATGATGTGAGAATACCTACATCCTTAAAACTGAAACTAACTAAAAATATGGTAATCCATCAATAAGACTTAACAGAAAAATGCTAAAAATTCTGCCCAAATTAGAGTATCTCAGGGAAAGACAAATTAGTTATTCTGTAAATAATATAATCCAGAAAAATAAAATAAGAGAGAGCTTCAAAAAATACATGGGAAAATGGAAGAGAAAGATAATGAAAGTTTCCATGAACTTTTTGAAACCCCTTGTCTATACCTTAGTTGGGGATATATAAAATGGTAACTGTTGGAAAACAGATTGGTAGTCTCTTTAAAAATTAAGCATACACCTGTCTTATAATACAGCCATTCCACTCCCAGATACCTGTCTAAGAGAAATGAAAATAAATACACATCCACACAAATGTAAGGACAAAACAATTTTTGATAAAGGAAATGAGGGTAAATTGCTACATTTGATGAACTTGACATATATTAATGGAGGTAGTGACTCTAAATACCAACAGAGAAGGGAGGAGTCTTCACATCAAGTATCAATGCTATCCTCTCTTGTACACAGGGTAGATAGGGACGGACAACTTAGACATTGGCTACCTAAAAGGAGGAGACGATAAAGGCAGAAGTGATTGACTTACAAGGTTTCAAGTGGGAGTTTAGTTTAATAGTGTGTGGGGGAAGAAAGAGTCCCCACTGAATAGCTATCACCTTGTCTAGATGGGTCTGGTTAAAAGAGATGCGGATAAGATTCTTATGATTCAATAGTAATTGTTATCATGACTAATTGCGACAGTCACAATTGTAAAGGTAGAAGTTTTGTAACAAAAACAGGGGAGTAGTTAATCTTACAGTCCAGAACAAAGGACCCTAAGACCATCAAGGGAGATGAGCACAAGTGGAATGCTATACCTTATCCAGAGAAGCAGCAGCACCAGAGATGGAGGCAGAGATGGGCACATGGAGAGAGGGAGCAACTGAGGACTCTAGATTCATGGGAAGAGAGGGACTAAGAGCTGGCAGCCAGGAGGCAGACTTGCAGAATGTGCCCTTTGGTGGTGTAAATTATTATATATGCTTCAGTGTTTGTTTGGTGTGTGTGTTTTTTTTTAAAGAGCTAAAGTGAATAGAGAGAAAAACTGCTAACTGATGGTACATGGAGGGGATTATA